AGGAAGGAAGGAAGTAGCCAGAGAGGTAGAGGAAGAAGGAGGAAGTGGCGTTGGAGGAGGAGGAAAAGGAAGAAAAATAAAGGAGAAGGAGGAGAGGAAGAGGAGGAAAAACAGAGGTGGAAGAGGAAGAAGAGTAAGGAGAGGAAGAAGAAGGAAGGAAGGAAGTAACCAGAGAGGTAGAGGAAGAAGGAGGAAGTGGGGTTGGAGGAGGAGGAAAAGGAAGAAAAATAAAAGAGAAGGAGGAGAGGAAGAGGAGGAAAAACAGAGGTGGAAGAGGAAGAAGAGTAAGGGGAGGAAGAAGAAGGAAGGAAGTAGCCAGAGAGGTAGAGGAAGAAGGAGGAAAGGAAGGAAGGAAGGAGCCAGAGGTCAGGTAGAGGAAGAAGGAGGAAGTGGAGTTGGAGGAGGAGGAAAAGGAAGCAAAATAAAAGAGAAGGAGGAGAGGAAGAGGAGGAAAAACAGAGGTGGAAGAGGAAGAAGTGGAAGGGAGGAAGAAGGAAGGAAGGAAGGAAGGAGCCAGAGGTCAGGTAGAGGAAGAAGGAGGAAGTGGAGTTGGAGGAGGAGGAAAAGGAAGAAAAATAAAAGAGAAGGAGGAGAGGAAGAGGAGGAAAAACAGAGGTGGAAGAGGAAGAAGTGGAAGGGGAGGAAGAAGAAGGAAGGAAGGAAGGAAGGAAGGAAGGAAGGAAGGAAGGAAGGAGCCAGAGGTCAGGTAGAGGAAGAAGGAGGAAGTGGAGTTGGAAGAGGAGGAAAAGGAAGAAAAATAAAAGAGAAAGAGAAGGAGGAGAGGAAGGGGGGAGTTGGACTGGATGGCCCATGAGGTCTCTTCCAACTCTTTGATTCTATGATTCTAGGAGGAAAAACAGAGGTGGAAGAGGAAGAAGAGGAAGGGGAGGAAGAAGAAGGAACTGTTTTTGAACTGCTAGGTTGGCAGAACCTGGGGCTAACAGCAGGAGCTCACCCCGCTCGCCAGATTCGAACCTGCAACCTTTCAGTCAACAAATTCAGCAGCTCAGCACTTTAACCCACTGTGCCACCAGTACTTTATATAAATAAAGTAGTAGTAATAGTAGTAGTTATTATTATTAGTATTATTATTGGGGACATGGAAAGAGCCTCCTTAAAGACTGAGTAAATACAGTCGGGCGTCCCTCGGGCAATGTTTCTTATAAACAGCTATTCTTTCCAAACCCAAAAGCATTGCTTTTAAACATTGCTTTTAATGGCATTGAATATGAATTATTATTATTATTATTATTATTATTATTATTATTATTATTATTATTCTACAGCAGTGGTTCTCAACCTTCCTAATGCCGTGACCCCTTCATACAGGTTCCCACGTTGTGGTGACCCCCAACCATAATGCTATTTTCGTTGCTACTTCTTTAATTTTGCTACTGTTGTGAATCGTAATATAAATATCTGATATGCAGGATGTATTTTCATTCACTGGACCAAATTTGGCACAAATACCCGAAACGCCCAAATTTGAATACTGGTGGGGTTGGAAGGGATTGATTTTGTCATTTGGGAACGTTGGAATTGCTGGGATTTATAGTTCACCTAAAATCAAAGAGCCTTTTGAACTCCATCAATGATGGAATTGAATCAAATTTGACACACAGAATTCCCACGACCAACAGAAAATACTGGAAGGGTTAGGTGGGTATTGACCTTGAGTTTTGGAGTTGTAGTTCACCTACCTCCAGAGAGCACTGTGGACTCAAAGCAGTGATAGATCTAAACCAAACTTAGCACGAATACTCAAAATGCCCAAATGTGAACACTGGGGGTGTTTGGGGAAAATAGACCTTGACATTTGGGAGTTGCAGTTGCTGGGATTTATAGTTCACCTACAAACAAAGAGAATTCTGAACCTCACCGATGATGGGAGTGAACCAAACCTGGCCACAGAACCCCCATGACCAACAGAAAATACTATCTTTTCTGATGGTCTTTGGTGACACTTCTGACACCCCCTCGCGACCCCCACAGGGGTCCCGACCCCCAGGTTGAGAACCACTGTTCTACAGTGTGGGTGCACCTTACATTGCTAAGGGTTTTGAAGAAGAGCAAGTAAGTGCCACCTCCCTTTCCACAACAGAGTTGCAAAAAGCCACATCCTCTCTTTGCACCATGTATTCTTTTAGCTCCGATGCAGTGCCTTGTTCCTCTGGAGTCTCGCCTGGGAGTCCTTCTCCATATGCAGCGTGTGCATTGCCAATGCATGGCCGCCGTACGTTCGGTACGTGCCTTTGGAAGGATGCTGCCAGCTCATGAATCTGTCCTGGTGACTCAGCGCTGACCCTGCGCTGGCACTTCGGGAGCATTAAAGATTCAGGCCTTCCTTCCTTCCTTCCTTCCTTCCTTCCTTCCTTCCTTCCTTCCTTCCTGCCTACCTTCACAACTCCATCCGGAAGAGGCGGAAAAAGAAGGGCGGCTTGGCCACGAGAGTGTGGCTCGGCCAAGGTCTCCAAGGGACTCTAAGTCAGGCCTCACCCTGTCTTAAACCACAACTGAACAATACAATGTGTAATTGCACCATCCAAGTGGCATTGTCACTTGCTATGTTGGAACCATCATGCAATTCAGGGTGCAGGCACACTTGGGAACTGATGCAGCGTGGTGCACTTCAATGCTATAGAACCCTGGGAGTTTTAGTTTTGCTAGGCTTTCCACTTTCTCTGCTGCGGCCAAACTATAGCTCCCAAGGTTCTGTAGCATTGAACCAGGGCAGTGATTGTTGTTGTTGTTGTTCATTCGTTCAGTCGTCTCCGACTCTTCGTGACCTCATGGACCAGCCCACGCCAGAGCTCCCTGTCGGCCGTTACCACCCCCAGCTCCCTCAAGGTCAGTCCAGTCACTTCAAGGATGCCATCCATCCATCTTGCCTTTGGTCGGCCCCTCTTCCTTTTGCCTTCCACTTTCCCCAGCATAATTGTCTTCTCTAGGTTTTCCTGTCTCCTCATGATGTGGCATTCAAAGGACTTCAACTTTGTCTCTAGTCTCCTTCCCTCCAGTGAGCAGTCGGGCTTTATTTCCTGGAGGATGGACTGGTTGGATCTTCTCGCAGTCCAAGGCACTCTCAGCACTTTCCTCCAACACCACAGCTCAAAAGCATCGATCTTCCTTCGCTCAGCCTTCCCTAAGGTCCAGCTCTCACATCCGTAGGTTACTACAGGGCAGTGATACTGGGGCCAAACTGCATTTATTCTGCAGTGCAGATGCGTCCAGAGGCTAAAGCCATAATGCCACTGTGAATGCTTGTTAGGACTGTGCAGAAGGAGGCTAAGACTGGATCTGCACTGCCGTATTGTGCAGTTCGAAGCTGCATTATCATGACAGTGAAAGGGGTGCCAACGGCATTCCTTCTAGAGTGATGCCACCTTAGTTACACCTTAGTAGGGAGACCAAGGTGCTTGTCTATAAAGCTATTGCCCTCCCAGTGAATCGCAGCGCTCTCTGGACCATCCTCCACAAAATCGGGTGCCCAAGCAAATTTGTGAACATCCTGCGGCTCCTCCATGATGACATGATGGCAACAGTCTTGGACAGCAGTGGCTCCCAAAGTGACCCATTTAAGGTGGAATCGGGTGTCAAACAGGAATGATGTGTTATTGCCCCAACTCTATTCTCCATCTTCATCGCTATGATACTTCACCTTGTTGACGGGAAGCTTCCCACCGGAGTGGAAGTCATCTATCGGACAGATGGCAAGCTATTCAACCTCAGCAGACTGAAAGCCAAAACCAAGGTTACAACAACATCTGTTATAGAACTCCAGTATGCTGATGACAATGTCATCTGTGCGCATTCAGAAGAAGATCTACAAGCCACTCTAAACACCTTCGCAGAAGCATACATGAAGCTTGGCCTGTCACTGAACATCGAGAAAACCAAAGTGCTCTTCCAGCAGACACCAGCCACCCCCTCCCCAATGCCAGAGATACAGCTTAATGGTGTCACATTAGAAAATGTGGACCCTTGGCAGCCCCCTCTCCACCAAAGTCAACATCGACACCGAAATACAACACCTGAGCTCTGCGAGTGCAGCATTTTCCCGAATGAAGCAAAGAGTGTTTGAGGACCGGGACATCCATAGGGAGACCAAGGGCTTGTTTATAAAACCATTGTCCTCCCAACCCTGCTATACACTTGCAAGACGTGGACTGTCTACAGATGTCACATGCAACTCCTGGAACAATTCCAACAGCGCTGCCTCCGGAAAATCCTGCAAATATCTTGGGGAGAGTGGACAAACGTCAGCATGCTGGAAGAAGCAAAGACCACCAGCATTGAAGCGATGGTCCTCCGCCACCAACTCCGCTGGACCGGCCATGTTGTCCGGATGCCCGACCACCATCTCCCAAAGCAGTTGCTCTACTCCAAACTCAAGAATGGAAAACGGAATGTTGGAGGAGAGGAAAAGAGATTGAAAGATGGGCTCAAAGCCAACCTTAAAAACTCTGGCATAGACACTGAGAACTGGGAAGCCCTGGCCCTTGAGTGCTCCAGCTGGAGGTCGGCTGTGACCAGCAGTGCTGCAGAATTTGAAGATGCATGAATGGAGGGCGAAAGGGAAAAGCGTGCCAAGAGGAAGAAGGCACGTCAAGCCAACCCCAACCGGAACCGCCTTCCGTCTGGAAATCGATATCCTCACTGCAGAAGATGCAGGTCAAGAATTGGGCTCCACAGCCACCTACGGACCCACCCTGGAAGATTATCCTACTCGGTCAATGAGGGATCGCCTAAGTAAGTAAGTAAGTAGGTAAGTAAGTAAGATGCCACCTTAGTTACATCTTAGTTATTGCAAACAGGAATTCATTGCCAGGAATAAGATGGTTGCAACATTATTTCCAAGCTCTGAGTTGTTCACCTGTCAAATGGGAACCTGACTGGCCTCCTTGCAGAATGCTGCCAATTCAAGGAGCTTGACCAATAGCCACCAGTTTGTGAATTTGCACCTGTCCCAATTGGTCGATCTCTCTCGCACACACACTCACCTGGACGATGGCCTTTGACCCGGCCACCTCCAGCACCTGGCCGCTCCGCTGCGTCCCATTCGGAAGAGTGAAGTTGACGATCTCGGCATATTGGGCAAACTGCAAGGCAAAAGGAAACACATCAGGGAAGCCCATGCCTCACGGTTCCCTCAAAGAATCCAGAAAAGACCCCAGAGAGGCAAGTTTGTGAGGCAACGGCCTGATCCCCGTCCCGAGTGTCAACGCACGGCTGTGGCTGGTGAGGGCTCCTGCACCTCTGGTTAAAGAACTGCTGTTTATGGGTTCAAACTATACTCAAAAACCAATAGATAGAAATGGCACCGCATTTCTAGCCATATAAAAATACTGTTTGATGAGC